CAGGTTTTTATACAGCAATAAGAATTTTGACTTGTTTTGTTTGTTAACTGCTGTTTTAACGCCGCAGTTCGCGTTGCGAATGTTTCACAAGAATGCTGGGTTGTGAACAAAACTTTTTGGAGGAATTTTCTTCTACCAATTTACTACGATCGCTATTGCGCGCACGTCAACATAGGCTCAGTGAAGGTGAGCAAAGCCGGGCAATCGTATTGAGTAACATAATGCTTCCGATGTTAGACGATAGCATTAGCGAAAGTTGATGGCTAAGCAGCAATTTTTCACAGATCGTCAAGACCAATAAACAACCATGATTTTTTTGAATCAACAAAGTATAGCAGCCGAATGAGCGTTCGATAGTTATTATATTAGGTTGGCCAGATTGAAATGTCGCCCCGATTTGCATCGTAGTTTCTGAGCTATAGCACAACCTCTCACAAGGCGGGTGCACTCATTCGAGAGACTGTGTCCAACAGCACTTTGAGATGTTGTATCTGCCTGTGAACCTTTGAACAGAAACATCGTGTGGACATGTGCATGTGACAAAACCCAAAACAATGGAAATTGGGTAAGGAGTTCTATCGTGTTCTGTGCGAAATACTCGACAGTGAGGCGCACTATCCTGCGGCAGTGCCTGCGATGTCCGCTGCGTTTTCTAAAAGGAGGCAGGAAGCACAAAGGCGAAATTCATCAGAATTTTCTTGCAATTCTGGCTAATGAAGAACTTAGAAATGGCACTTAACAAAAGTATTCACGATGTGAAATCCTAAGGGGTTTGGCTACACTGCAGCTACAAACGATAGTCATTTACGAGTGATTGGTAGAGTAAATCGGTGCAAAAACCAAATTTTGCAGCTGCAAAACGACACTTGCCAAGCGGAGTGTGTTGCGAAAATAGCGCAGCAGAAAATCGAGGAGTTAAGCTGGAACGTTCTGCCTTCCGCGCCATTTAGCCCAGATCTGGCACCGTCCATTCACCATTTATTCAGGTCAGCGTAGCTTTCCTTAGTAAGGTAGGAGACTGAGTAAGCGCGATGACGTCAATATTTGGATGCACACATTGCGGAAAACGACACCAGACTTCAATATGCTTGAAAAACAAAGAAACCACTTCCTCTGCGATACAAGTCGAACAAAATAAGAATGAAAAAGTCAAAAAATCAACCAGAACTTTACATCAGGCACACCAAGGCCTCGTTCCGAGACCGATTTTGACTCAAAAGACTCTACTATATTAGCTGTCGCGGAAAATCCAAAGACATTGAAGACCGAAGACACATATCTTCTCGCTGGATCGGTTAAAACAATGAATCCGCAAACAAAACAGCTACGCCGTGTGCAGGTTACTGGAGCTGACCGTTCCTCCATAGATTCGAAACTTGCACACGAACTCCAACTTCCGAGACAAGGCACTTCAACAATGAGGCTCAGCACATTTGGAACGACAAATCAGAGAGAAATCACGTGCACAATCACATCCATCGACATATGGGATCAAGAAGGTGTACAACACACACTTAGACTATTCATACACGACACAATTACTTCCAATGTTACACGCTGTGACCTCGAAAAGAGAGACATCAATTTCATAAGAAGAAAACACATTCATGTATGCTCACCAATAAAGAAGGGCAACATACAACCACGGATCCTGATAGGATGCGATCAACTCTGGAATTTCGTCAAATTCGAAGCACCACACTTCACTCTTCCATTCGGACTACTCCTCATACCCACAGTATTCGGATACATGATCTCAGGACAAAAATTGTCGCAGAAAACCACATCTGCAGAACAAAACCATGTGCTTGTACAAACTTCCAATACAAGCGAACATGTGGATTACTGGGAACAGTATTGGAACTCCGAAATTTGCGAAAAAGATGAAGAAAATTCCAGATCCGAAAAAGAAGAAAGGGAAAAGATAAACGCACAAGTTCTGAAGGAGTTCAACGATACCATCCAAAAACGAAGTGATGGATACTATGTGAAACTTCCTTTCAAAAGCCAACACTCTGAATTACCAGACAACAGAGCACTATCATGGAAACGACTGAAGAATGCCTTACAAAAATACAACGACAACCCAGAAATTCTACTGCAGTATGACAAAGTTTTCAAAGAACAAGTTCAGGCAGGAATTCTTCGAAGAAGTAGATGAATCCAAAGATTCATCAACAAAGAAAAAAACATTATCTCCCTCACCAACTTGTAATAACCCCATAAAACAACTACAAAATTTCGTGTCGTATTTGACGCATCAGCGCACTATAAGGATTGCCCATCTCTCAATGACAAGATACATCAAGGACCAACAATGTTACCGAAACTCTCTGGCATATTGTTGCGCTTTCGCACAGGAAATTATGTCTTACTATCTGATGTTGAGAAGGCATTCCTCCAAGTACGCCTGCAAGAGGCAGACAGGGATTTTAGCCGATGCCTTTGAGTTAAAAACATTAAAGGCACGAGTCAGGCTTGATGGACCAAACCAATCCCTTTTGTCGTCTTTGTGCATGGCTACGCACCCACAGAGACGTTACCATGCTCAAGAATCCCAAACGGCGCCGTAATAAGGCCTCCAGGGCACGTACTATGCGCTATCGCCGCCTGGCCCCGCTACGACCGCCCACCTCGGGAGTGGTGCGTGGCTGGCATAACGTGTGAAATCAGCTAGGTTGATTGCCGTATCAACCGATAGAACGACTGATATCTCCAGAAAACTTGTTTGTACGTGCCTCTTCCCCAAGCCAGCCTCCTTCACTGCTAGTGGGAAAGAGGGTTTTGTTAACGGCCTTGTCGACGGTTTTTCTCAGTTTTTTCTCCACTGTCGTTCCACTTCGCATCTCTATACTCAGTTTCAATCGCCATAATACCCCCTTATTGAGCCCGACTTTTGCCTTTAAAGAGAAGCTCACCCAGGAAAACCTTGCCGTTTACCGATTCATCCGCGTAACATTTGGAATCGATGCCTCCCCCTTCCTCCTCAGTGCAAGCGATACTCTACCATCTGAAACACCACGTGAAAAAGAAAAACCTGACAGATGAAATTGCAAAAAACCTTTATGTCGACAATTTGCTTGTTTGCGCAGACTCGAAGGAGGAAGCTATTCAGAAATACGCCGATTTAAAAACAATCTTCTCAGATATACAAATGAACTTACGTGAATTCATCGCCAATTGATGCAGACATCATGAACTCCATCAAAGTTTGTGATCGGTCGGCCAATCAAACTCCCAAAGTGCTTGGAGTACCATGGAATTCGATAACAGATCAGTTCGAGTTACAAATCAACATCGACAAGAAAGAGTTCGTCAGCAAACGCGTCGTAGCACAGCAGATTGCTTCGATATACGATCCCCTCGGATGGTTCATACCATTGTTAGTGAAGGCGAAACATTTCCAACAACAACTTTGGAAACATCACTATGAATGGGACGAACCGTTAAATCCAAACGAAGCAGAAAAATGGTTGCAACTCATGGACGACATAGATGGATTCCAACATCAACTTCCCAGAATGATTGCGAATCCCAAATCTGTATATACCCTCATCACGTATACTGACGCAAGTTCAATAGCAATGACGGCATGCATCTACCTTGTCGACGAAGCAAACTCCAATCTTCTAATGGCCAAATCAAAAATACCACATATGAAGTATCAAGCGACGATACCAAAACTCGCTCAGTGCACTTGCTATTGGAATCAGTCTAACATCCAACGTCTTCCAAAGCATGAACTCTTCGATACACATAGAAGATATTCTGATACTCACAGACTCCGAGATTGCCATTGCATTGGATTTCAACACCGAAAAATCGAAACAATGGAGTATTCGTAACTAATCGAATTAAAGAGATCCACGAAATCGTCCAGGACCTGGAGTCATCGAAGCTATCAGTGAAGTTTGGATACATTGACACCAGCAAAAACCCAGCAGATTGCGGCACCAGAGGACTTACAAAAGAAAACTTCAAAAATCATGTCTGGTGGCATGCATACAACCTTCAACAAATTCATAATAGAGAGATCGGAAAAAAATTTTCGTCCCATGCAAAAATCAGAAGGCGAAGAACCTCCAACTGAAACCTGTTTTCACCTTGCACAATCGTCACAAGTGGAGATCACAGACGTCATGAATCTTGAAGCATTCAGCAACTTCACAAAAGCAAAAAGGATTCTCGCTTATGCGTTGAGGTTCCTAAAGAAATTATCGCGTCGTCTTCATCCAGAAATTCGACAAAAACTATTCGAAAACTTGCCATGGCTCCAACATCAACCTCAAGAAGACCATCTGACGGCAAGGGACATTCTCGACGCCCAACACATCCTCATTCGAAATCATCAGCTGGCGCATATCAACGCACAATACAGAAAGGAACTCACAAAAAATCTAAATCTCAAAGAGGATCACACAAAAATCTTGAGAGCGTACGGCCGCCTCAACAGATCAGACCTTAACCCTACCGCCAAAAATCCTATCCTTATTGTCCCCAATACCCACCTCTCCCGCCTCATCATTAATGAAGCCCATGGCCCTTACCACGTAGGAACAGCCCATACCATATCCAACGTTCGTCAAATGTACTGGATCCCACGACTGCGAGAACAAGTCAAAAAGACCGTACGAAGTTGCATTCCGTGCCAAAAAATTAATAACCTTCCTTTCAAATACCCGCAAATGATGGAGCTTCCTCGATCCCGCGTAACAAGGTCAAGAGTATTTCAGCACACAGGCTTAAACCTCTTGCGCTAGAATTGCAAGTGATCTATAGTTTTCTCAAAAAACATTTCACCAGATACATCACAGTAGTACAAAACAGAAATAAAACTATGAAAGCATTTTGGGCAATCAATAACATAAACATTAGTCAAGAATTGAATGAACTAAAATTTCCTAACTTAAAAATTTACACAGCAGATTTTAAAGATATGTTCACAAACTTAGAACATAGCCTTATAATCAAAAACATTCAAACACTTCTGAAAATATGCTTCAAGAATGCTGATAAGCCCTTTATAGCAACAAATGGATATCATGTCTTCTACTCGGATAATGATAATAACAATAGCAAATATAGATACTATAAAATTAACGACCTAACGATTTTAATTTCAAAGTTCCTGAGATTTCCACATTCCCAAACCAATATCTCTCTTCAGAATAAAGCTTCAGTTATTTATACCGAAGCACTAAGGATTGCCAACGTTTGTTCTACATTTACACTGTATACACGAAAAATAAAAGATCTAATCAAAATAATGATAAATAACGGCTACTCAAAAGACTTTATAATTACTAACATCATTAAAAGTATTTATAAAATTAAGTTCATTAGTTATAAATTTGCAATAAATAATAATATCAATAATACTATCAGAAAATTGGTTACAAGTATACTCGAATAACTTTATCTCTAACGTAAGCATTATAGATCAACGGCAACCTTTATCTCCATCTCAAGCACATACTCTACTCCCTTATCTCTTATTACTCATTGTTCTTCTCCTTAACCTTGTCCCCTCTTAACGACTAATCTGCTCGAATGCCAATTTTACACTTAGTAACTAATACCGTATCTGTTACGGTATCCAATACTGAGTATTTTATTACCGTACACCTACCTGAGACGCATCCTAGTTCCCAATATGCAATTTGCAATCCTTGTGTTACTCTTTGATACATGTCTACTAACGTCTTGATCCAATACTTTCACTACTCCCTTGTAACATCTGGTGACATATGATAGACATCACAATGCATTCATTCCCAATCACTGAAGAAGCCTCAGGGAATGAAGGTTACAATGATTCGTATGATTAAGAGGCGAAACGAATCATTCCTTTCTTTTTATCATTAACATGTACTCTTCACTCTTATATGTCATATCTTTTCTTCTTTTTACTTATTAGACTATTTTGGTCCACTGACAGCTTTTCGAGAGGACAGAGAAAAGATCAATGTTTACGGATGTATTTTTACATGTACTGTCACACGAATGATTCACTTAGAACTGGTACTCGATGGAACGACGGAAAAATTCCTCAACGCCTTTCGCCGCTTCGTTGCAAGACGGGGGAAACCGCAGACGGTTATCTGCGACAATGCTCCTACGTTCCTACTGGGCTCCATCAACAGGTCGATGAGTAGTAACTGCATTGAATGGCATCACACAACACCGTTTTCACAATGGAAAGGTGGCTTCTATGAGCGTCTCATAAAGTCAATCAAAGGTTCATTATTCAAAGCAATTGGGAAAAGGATACTCAATATCGACTAGCTTACGACGCTCCTGCATGAAATAGAAGCATGTTCAAATACAAGACCTTTGACTTATCAAGAAACTGATGTCGAAGATTCCTTCCATCCTCTAAGACCTATTGATTTCATTCAAAACGAAATGGATATCACACTTCCTCTGAACAAGTTCAACGACGACTGCGAAGACCCAACCTACCTTCCAGTCCCTGAAATGGCACACTTCCTCTGAACAAGTTCAACGACGACTGCGAAGACCCAACCTACCTTCCAGTCCCTGAAATGGCACGTCTTAGGACCAGAATACAAACACAAGAAACTTTGAGAAGTTCATGCGAATTGACAGAACGATATTGGAAAATATGGAAGGATTCCCACTTGTCACTACTACGCGAACAGCATCGATGCAACATGACCAATCAAAGAGGAAGTAATAGGCAACCGATCGAAGGAGAGATTGTGCTGATTGTGGACACCTACCAAAAGCGCAGCAACTGGAAGATAAGAAGAATCTCAAAAGTAATACACAATAGCGACGGTGAAGCAAGAGAAGCCGAAGTCTATTGCGGATATAATAACCATATTCGGAGACCCGTGAACCTCTTGATTCCGCTTGAAATTGGATCCAATCAGAAGAACATCAAAGAAAGATGCCAAGATGAAGAACCACCTAAAAATGGAAGACGTGAAACAGTTCTGCAAGAAAATTCAAGATATAATCTACGCCCACGGAAAGCGAAAGAAGATTGTACAACAACATATTGAAGAAGACAGAATGATCCATGTTTGAAATGTCGTTGTTATTGTAATTCTCATTCCAGCTCCTGGGGGAGTTTTCTGTACGAAACAAAACCGCTGTTTTCATAAGTGTCCGTAGAAATGGTGTTGCTAGAAAATGTTGATGAGTGGACGATGTAAACAATAACTGTATATAAGCACACCCGAACGGGTGTGGTTCATTCTTATTCTTGTTCTCATCCTCAGTCTACTTTCTACCGTTCGACTATCTTCGTCCAGCTATAAACTGCGAAGCAGCTCGGTGTACGACAGAAGCAGTGTAGGAAGCAATTATACATAAGAAGCGTGGCAGGCAAACTACATATACTTATATATCCGGTTCTCCACCACAACCCTCGTGTTATCAAACGATAAGGTGTGAGGCAGTAATTGTTGGACGAGTGTAAGCCCATGGAAGATATGATACGATGAGATAAGAAGGTGCGGCTGCTTGATAAGAGGTGCACTCCAGAATGAAAACGGGACGATAACGATAACGGTATATCTAGCACGCTCTTATCGCACCCCTTTCCACATCGATAAGTCTTGGTTTTTGCTGAACGGAAGTGGATTTCGGCGCCTTATCACTCCGTTGATAAGGCGCCACTGCCACTGAAACTTCACGTGTTCTAACATTGGGCAGGACCTCTATCCACTCCAATACACAGCTTTCCTTATCGTTCCCATGAAAATTATCGTGACCACTTCCTTTAACCCATTGCGTACCGCGTGCTGCACCATGTGCAGCACGCTGATTTGCCTCCGTGTGGCCGCGTGCTGCACATGGTGCAGCACGGGTTTTTGAAGGGTATTTTCGACATTTTCTCGTGCTCTAATCTAATAGTAATGATAAACTGAATCCGGAGAATAACATACAGACGTGGGACTGCGCAATGCGAAGGAATTCCTGAATTACTGGTATTTGTTGTGAAAAACTCCAGTTGCACCTCTCAATTTTTTCGCTAAATTGTAGTAAAAGTGAAGGAACGGCTAAGCGACAACTTCGAGCATATAAAACAATTAAAGCTACTACGTTTCAATCACTTTCAGCTCTTTTTCCACTTGTTATATTCTTCAAAACTCATTTTCAATTCTGTCGCATTTTCGGTTACCCTACTCCCTACATCATGCAATAATAACTAATTCCACTGAACAAAAATAAACATGAAATACTGCAAATGTGTAAGATATATGCGCAGTGCTTATATAATAGATGTTTATAATATAAATGAAAGTTTTATATGGATCGCGCAGCACGCGGCGGGGGTCTAAATAGGCGCCGGCCACACGCGCCAGCCAGCCAAAAAACGCCGCGGTACGCAATGGGTTAAAGGAAGCGATCACGCTGGCTTCCACGCTGGATTTGCTACCCTCGCGTTATCAACCGATAAGGTCTGAGGATAGATAATTGTTGGACGAGTGTAAGCCCATGGAAGATATGATACGATGAGATAAGGATGCGGCTGCTTAAGAAGAGGTGCACTCCAGAATGAAAACGGGACGATAACGATAACGGTATCATATCTAGCACGCTCTTATCGCACCCCTTTCCACATCGATAAGTCTTGGTTTTTGCTGAACGGAAGTGGATTTCGGCGCCTTATCACTCCGTTGATAAGGCGCCACTGCCACTGAAACTTCACGTGTTGTAACATTGGGCAGGACCCCTATCCACTCCAGTACACAGCATTCCTTATCGTCACTAAGAGACAAGGCGATATCATCTGCTAGACTGTCTGATACCTTATCGACTACGAGGAATCGATTGAGGAGGATTGCATAGCACGAAGCCTCTTAGTTACCTTTTTAACGTGAATTGTGAGGTGTTCACATACTTTTGAAACGCACTGTAGTGTCGCTGCTTTCCTGTTTTCGAGTTGTGTGAGGACAACACCCACTCCGCGCCTGTACGCCTTTACTTTTTCAAAAAGTACAGCGACTCTTAAACATTTATTGTTTAAGTGTGCAAGAGCTTTCGAGTTTCTCTCGTCCATATTTTGCAATTTATGCGGGAAAACTGAGGAAGTCGGTTAGTCGGAGTCACCACTGACTTCCTTGTATCAGAGCTGCATCGCGGAACCCTACAACAACCGATACTCAATTCAACGTCAAGGTGCTTTACCTTTTACTATGTATACCTCCACTGCAGCGATTAAAACGACGGGTTTGATCAGCTGAAGCTGTTCCTGAAATGTAGTCTTTTGGCTTAAACACCATCCAGTAAAGCCTTGTCAAAGAAAGGTGTGCGACCGCTCGATTCCTTGTGCGTGGAGGTTGCGACGCGGCTTGCCCAGCAATTTGTAAGCAGAGACCTATACCCATTGAGAGATTCGTCGCGACCTCGCGCTATGCCATGGTTTGTTTTGTTCAATTTTAAGAGCTGTGAGAAAGATAGCGCTCACTCCCTCGCCAAGTCGCTTCTTTTTCAAAGCGAAGACTTCGATCAGCGGGTGTCCAGTTGTACAGCACTTCTAAAAAGGTCCGGAATTGAAGCAGTCGTGCCAGATTGAGGTTGTCGAGCACAAACCTGCACGGTGAGCAGATTGCGGTGGAACGGTCATTCGTACACGTACAAAGCTCTCTTCCCGTGATGGAGGAGGAGTAGCAGAACGTGCTACTAGCGACACATGTGGCGGTGTTTCTTGACGTGTGACAATCTCTTCCGACCCTGCCGCCGGGCGAGAGTTGGCAGGTGATGATGGTGGATTGCTTTCTGGTTCACTGCGTTCCAACATTTCCTGAAAGCGATCTTCATGTGTAGCCCGCCCGTGAGAAGGCATGGGCTCTCTGCACGTACCATATGCCGTTCCACTGATTGTACGTCACATATTTGTCCGGGTAGCTCATCCGGATCGCTTTCGCAGTCGCTAAGTTGTAAACTTAGCACTTCTCGTTCACCGCAGCCTTTTTCGCGTGCCTGTAACCGATCTTCCCAAAATGAAATTGCGTATAAAAGTGTCCGAGAAGGCTAGGATGGCAAACGGACTGCAGAAGAAGTCGAATGACTACCTTGCGTATATAAATATAATGATCGCTCTTCTTTTCTACACGAGCTCTGGCAGCCCATCCTTCGCGATCTATTTCAGCAAGCTGCAATATAAATGTTAAGAATTCTTCAGGAAGCTTGATAGCGTCTGTACCTTGGTGTTGGCTAACGAGCCACCTGCACTTCACTACTAGGAACATCCAAGGTCACTGCGCAACTGCATGCGATGAGTTTTGCCGCAGCCGCATTGCAGTGGAACGATCTCGGACTTTCTGGTAGGACCACCCTTCAGGCGGCCACTCCGCTATAACTGGGTAACGGTGCTATCGCAAATACGGGGCGTTGTGGTAACAATACATTTGAAACCGCGTAAAACATGTCTCTTTCTGTTAAGGGAATAAGCATTAAGCATGGGAGGAGAGACTCCAGGGTGCTGGGCCATTTTCACTTTTCCGGAGTTCCTGTTCCCGCCTAGGCTTGTCTCTCTAGGGTGCTTTGGTATATTGTGCTAGCGCCTAGGTAACAATTCACAACAACAGTCCCATTAAAGCTGTTTTAACAAAGTGCAGTTGTCTACTCGCGGTACAGTCGATATCCGAAAGTTGGGGTAGGCGTGTCACCGGAAGTGACGTGCACTTGATAGAAGTTGCGTGGATAAGCTGTTGCCAGCATGCTTTGCTGATATCCAGCGATGTATGTTGGAAGCAGCTTATCCACATAGCTTCTATCAAGTGCACGTCACTTCCGGTGACACACCTACCCCAACTTTCCTATATCGAGTATAAAACATTTTGAATGAGCTCGCTCTTTGATTCTCACTATTGCGTATACATTTGATAAGTATTAATCAGGCTTGGCTGAGAACCATTATCGTTTGATCACACTGACTCTACAGCGGGTTTCATAATAGCAAGGTTCAAAAGAGGAGTTCACGATTAGAAGGCAGCCCATTTTAATTAAAGGACGAATTCACGATGAAAAAGCAACCCATTTCAAATTAACCTAGGGATGGTGAGTGGTACACGAAAGAAGGAAGAACCATGAGAAACGGCCCAGAACCCGAGAAATGGACCCCTTCCTTGCCCGTTGATTTGAGCATTGATGCGACTCTCATCGCTGTGCCCTCTTCAACACTACGCTCTCTCAGCTATCTAATCACTCGCCACGTATTGAACTACGGCGAGTGATCAGATGATCGGTGGGCGGAGATCGCCGGACCCGCCAGCTTTGAGGCATGATAGGTCGCCGAGGTCAAATTTTTCCATGCGAATTGCGCGTCAGTTCGCACCCTCAGGAGGTCCGTGGGTCCCTCAACTAGGTCAGTTTCCCTTTCTTCGACCTTCATTCTAATCGTGAATTCCTCCTTTAAAGGCAAAGGTCGGGATTAGTTGACCAAACCAACCCTTTCGGTCATGCCTGTACTTGGTTACGCACCCGTAGAGATGTTCCCACACTCAAAATCTCAAACGGCGCAGTAATAAGGCCCCAGGGCACGTACTATGCGCTATCGCCGCCTGGCCCCGCTACGACCGCCCACCTCGGGATGTGGTGCGTGGCTGGCATAACGTGTGAAATCAGCTAGGTTGATTGCCGTATCAACCGATAGAACGACTGACATCTCCAGAAAACTTGTTTGTACGTGCCTCTTCCCCAAGCCAGCCTCCTTCACTGCTAGTGGGAAAGAGGGTTTTGTTAACGGCCTTGTCGACGGTTTTTCTCAGTTTTTTCTCCACTGTCGTTCCACTTCGCATCTCTATACTCAGTTTCAATCGCCATAATACCCCCTTATTGAGCCCGACTTTTGCCTTTAAGGTAGAGGTGGTCACTACTGCCAGGAAAAAGAAAAACCATGACAAAGGGACCGCAACCCAAGAAATGGGACCCTCGTTTGTTTCCGCATTGATGCAACTCTCATGGGTGCTGCTTTTAAGGGTGACCCTCTCAACTAATCAGCTAGAGACCCGCGGCGAGTGGATAACCAGTCTCTGGTGCGCGCGCGTGCCTCGTCGTTAGCCTCGCAGAGGGCTACGCTAGGTCGCCAGGGCATATCCTTCACTGCGATTTGCGTGCCGGCCCACACCTTTAGGGGCTACCTATCTTTCTACGAGGTAAGCTTCCACTTCGATCTTTGACCTTTATAGTGGAACCGCCTTCAAGCAACTCGATCGTAGCGAAATGTTTTTGTAAGTTTGACCGCTCATCAGCACACGAGTGCGAAAAAATGGTACCAATCGTATGAAACCAATAATGGAGCGTTCATAGTTGGCGATCGTACGTGCGGTTAGGCGATTAGGCGATTAGGCGATGGTTGAAACTGAAAAGTATTCGAATGGATTAGGCGATTAGGCGAATTCTTCACCGCCTAATCGACTACTCGCCTAATCGCCTACTCGCCTACTCGCCTAATCGCCTAATCTATACGTATATTTTTCATTGTAGACTAATCGCCTAATCGCCTAGTCGCCTGATCACCAACTATGAACGCTCCATAACCATTTAGAAGCACACAATTTTGTCACGGTTGAAGTCTTCAGAAATCCTCAATTGAAATAGACTGCGCGCACGTTGGATACTAAAGAAGTACCACAGAAGTAGTCCCACGTCTTTCTAACTCCACCATATCGACACATTACATCAATTTGGATCACTGGGAAAGACAGACTGCAGACTGGAACTACTCAGTTCAGAACAGGTATTGCTGAACCCAGCTCGATCATTCAAAGTCATTCACCTTATCCCAGAAAGGAATGCTTTTGTTAACCACTTCGGAGAACGACGACAGCACTCGTCCGTGATGTTTCTCTAGACAAGGACGCATTGTCTCGGCGAACATCGACACTCCACCAGAGATGAACATTCGGCGAATCTGTTGGTTCTAAAAACGAAGAACGTGACCGTATATGACTGATGGCGACGTCATCACAGACCTTTCCGACGTCTTTCCACTGGCTTCGTCCTGGAATTGTGGCTCGGTCGATCTCGGGGGGTAGTGGAATCACTTTGAATGTCCGTCCTTTTCGCTTTCCACGCCCTTCCAAATACCTGAATACTTCATATAGATGAACTTCGCGGATTTCTAGGAGCAGGTGGTCAAACCTTGGGTCTTTAGGGTTTGTTGAAATCCAGTTAATGGAGCATGACATTGTTGAACAAGTCTGAAGTAGAAACAGTACAGGGACAGTCATCCAACGACACACTTGCCAATCGTATCGAACTAACTAACCATACAGAGTGGTAGTGTTGAAGTGAACCTTACCGTTTCCATTTCTGTCTTTTATTAGGTCACTTGATATCACACAATGCACGTATTCTCATTCGATTTCAGATCTCACTGATCGGTCGTACTCATTTCAACAAAATGCTAGCATTAGTTATTTGCACCAGCAGATAATGAAAGATAGCTATCGATTAGCTTTTGACGTTACGCGCTCTGAAAACTGCGCAGAATCCCATCCCACATCTCTCATCTTAGTGTGAGATTATTGAATGCGTGTGTTACTATCTAGCATAGTGTATTGATTAGAGTTGCATGCATAAATCGCAGTGGTGAAACATGGTTGTCATGTCAAGGGTGGGGTTGCTCACAGTTAGATTGTTTACTCTGACCGTTCGTAGATCCCTAAGTGAACTATGTATATCCAGCAGGATACACAATGTCTCAAGCTTCTACAGTGTAATGTGGGCGCTTTGGTGAAGCTCCCAACACCGAACCTTCCAATAAATAGTTCTCCAAGCTAAACAGATCTGACACACTGATCAATCCTGGACATGTGGAAACTGGGAGACCGTCATATGGCGCGATCACCTTGCCATTGGGGCGCATGGGCTATAATTGCCACTCAGACGCCGCCTAATTTGGGGAAGAGGGAACTTAGTCAGGATTGACCTTTCACACCTCCTCGCCGTGGTTATCTCGCACCACCCTGTAACCTGCCTCTGGGTGGACCTTGCTTAATTAGGTGTGCTGAGTGCTGACCTCGCTCCAACATATCGCTCTCATGCGCAGTATTGATTATCAAGTCTGGTCTATTATCCTTCTATTTTATAAAGCACTAACTTTGTGTGTCGGTTTGTATGTCTGTATGTG